GTGATGAGAATGTAAAAAAATTTTAATAAAAAAATTTAAAAAAATTTTTTTAAACAATTTTTTGTTTATTTACTCCTCTCTGAGAAAAATGTTATTAACATATTTGGATTCCTTGTGAATTCACATTTAATTTCATAAAAAAAAATTGATGGAGACTCAACTGGTTCCGGAGATATTTAATTTTTTGTAAAAAAAGCGTTGCCGCGCCATAGCACCATACTGCACAAGTCGCGTAGTACGTTATACCGTAGTCGTGCATTGCTGCTGTAACTATGACTATTTTTTACAAAAAATTCAATATCTCCGGAACCAGTTGAGTCTCCATCAATTGTTTTTTATGAAATTAAAGGTGAATTCATAAGGAATCCAAATATGTTAATAACATTTTTCTCAGAGAGGAGTAAATAAACAAAAAATTGTTTAAAAAATTCTTTTTTAATTTTTTTTATTAAAATTTTTTTTTTATTAACTTTATTTGCATTTTAAAGTATATACTTTTACCTGAAAAATGTGTAAATTTTATAAAAATCCATAAACAATATTCCGAGATATTTAAAATTTTATAAAATTAATATTAAAATTCAAAATGGCGTATCTTCAACAATTTTGAATTGTTTTTGAAAAATTTTGGGGAAAGAAGTCTCTTATATAGAACTATAATCCCACGAAGTTTTGCGAAAATCGGCATACCTTTTGCAAATCGTGATATTTCTGACGTGAACTGCCTCTTTTAAAAAATTATTTTACTTTTATTTAAAATTTTCTTTCAATTTATTATTGAATTTTATTTAATAATTTCTAAATTATATTCCGAATTCATAAACAATGTTTACCGAGATCATTTATTTATTTAAATATTAAATTAAATTATTTTTTATTTATCTCAATTTCCTACGCCCCAATTCTGGCAATTATAATTTGCCATGAAAGATACAAATTTTTTTGTCATTAAAGTGCCAATAATGAGCCGATCTTCATCACATCATTGGCAATTGAATTTTAAAAAATTTTAAGATGAAAATTCATGCTATGTTTTTAATATTTAATTATTATCTAAAAATTTGACTAGAATCCATTTTGAAATCAATTTTTATTAGAAAATTCTACGAGAATTTAATTATTTAAATGCAAAAATAAATAATTTATTGAATAACTAAATGTTTCTTAAAATTGAATTATGAGAATTAAATTTTAAAAAACATTCATATTTATTCAATAAATTTCCTTAACCCATTAACGCCTAACTCGTGAAAATTCTTAGGTCATTTTCAAGCTACGTAATTATAAATAAAACGGTTGACAATTTATACCAGAGGTACATTTTCTAAAGGTTTTGCATGTACTCTTTCCGATTCCAGTGTCAAAAATAAATTTCGTCCAAACCAAAATTAAATATGGCGATTTTAATGTAAAAAAAACAAAAAAAATTTCATTTTTTCAAGTTTGACATTTTTTTTACCTCGAAAAAGTGTAAGAATAAAATTCTATTTTCAACCATCGGTGCATAAAAATTATACACTTTCGATAAAACTAAAGTAGAATTTAAAATTTCAAGATGGCGGACCAATATGGCGTCAAATCTAAAGTAAAATTTTAAAATTTTTGGCAATATTCTTTATATTGCCGAAAAGTCAATGAATTCGCCTAAAATTTGTTACTCGGGGGTTTTTGGTGTCGCTGATTACGAATATGAACTTTATTTTCATAAATTCAAAATGGCGGATCCAATATGGCGGACGAGTTTTACAAAAATTCATCGAATTCACTTGAAATTTGTCACTCGGGGGTTTTCGGGGTCGCTGATTACGAATTTGAAGTCAGATTTCAAAAATTCAAAATGGCGGATTCAATATGGCGGAAAAGTTTAACAAAAATTTATAGAATTCACTTAAAACTTGACACTGGGGGGTTTTTGGGGTCGCTGATTACGAATATGAACTTTATTTTCAAAAATTCAAAATTTCGGATTCGATATGGCGGACGAGTTTTATAAAAATTCATCCAATTCACTTAAAACTTGTCCCATGGGGGTTTTTAGGGTCGCTGATTACGAATATCACTTTCATTTTCAAAAATTCAAAATGGCGGATTCAATATGGCGGACTTATTTTTTAAATTTATCAAATTCACTTGAAACTAGTTACTCGGGGGTTTTTGGAGTCGCTAATTACAAATATCAATTTCATTTTCAAAAATTCAAAATGACGGATTCAATATGGCGGACAAGAAACTTAAAATTTCATTATAATGGCTTAAATCTTGTAACTCGGAGGTTTTTGGGGTCGCTGATTACGAATATGAACTTTATTTCCAAAAATTCGAAATGGCAGATTCAATATGGCGGACAAATTTTTTAAACTTAATCAAATTCACTTGAAACCTGTTACTCAAGGGTGTTTGGCGTCGCTGATTACAAACCCCTGAGTTACACTACCGTCCAAAAGTACCAGGACGATTACATTCGACTCTATGAAAAAACATGCCATCACTTTTTCAATCATATCTCGGAAATAAAAGGAGATACAAGAAAGAATTTAATGCAGTTAGAAAGCTGATTAAATTTTGCGTAAAATAAGTTGTCTTTAAAGTCATTTCGATAATTATTTTTTGAGTTGTAGAGTGAGAAAGAAATAAAAAAAATTATCAAATTTTCTAATTTTTGTCTCTTGACTACAACTTTTTCAAAAATCTAAAAAAATTTAGATAAGTGTTTTTTAAAAACACAGAAATCTTTGTTAGAATTTCAGCTTTAAAATAAGCCTTCGAAAATTAAAAAAGGTTAATCCGTCTTCGATATATCATTAAAAATGTGAAGCCGTGTTTCGACCGATTGGTGCATTGAAATTCAACAGTGATGACTCGATTCTGGCTTCGCGCGGCAGCGAATGAGAGAAAACAGGGACAAATTTTTGCTGGAGAATAATGAATAATGATGTTTCACGAGTAATATAAAGAAACTCAAAAGTTCATCGTTGCCCCGCATGAATTCGTTCCTGTTTTCTCTCTCATTCGCTGCCGCGCGAAGCCAGAACCGAGTCGTCGCAGTTGAATTTCAATGCACCAATCGGTCGAAATACGGCTTCACATTTTTAATGATATATCGAAGACGGATTAACCTTTTTTAATTTTCGAAGGCTTATTTTAAAGCTGAAATTCTAACAAAGATTTCTGTGTTTTTAAAAAACATTTATCTAAATTTTTTTAGATTTTTGAAAAAGTTGAAGTCAAGAGACAAAAATTAGAAAATTTGATAATTTTTATATTTCTTTCTCACTCTACAACTCAAAAAATAATTATCGAAATGACTTTAAAGACAGCTTATTTTACGCAAAATTTAATCAGCTTTCTAACTGCATTTAATTCTTTCTTGTATCTCCTTTTATTTCCGAGATATGATTGAAAAAGTGATGGCATGTTTTTTCATAGAGTCGAATGTAATCGTCCTGATACTTTTGGACGGTAGTGTACAAGATTTAAGCCAATAGAATGAAATTTGAAGTTTCTTGTCCGCCATATTGAATCCGCCATTTTCAATTTTTGAAAATGAATTTCATATTCGTAATCAGCGACCCCAAAAACCCCCGGGTGACAAGTTTCATGTGAATTCGATGAATTTTTGTAAAACTCGTCCGCTATATTGGATCCGCTATTTTGAATTTTTAAAAATAAAGTTCATATTCGTAATCAGCGACCCCAAAAACCCCCGAGTGACAAGTTTCAAGTGAATTCGATGAATTTTTGTAAAACTCGTCCGCCATATTGGATCCGCCATTTTGAATTTTTGAAAATAAAGTTTATATTCGTAATCAGCGACACCAAAAACCCCCGAGTAACAAATTTCAGGCGAATTCATTGACTTTTCGGCAATATGAAGAATATTGTCCTAAATTTTTAAATTTTACATTAAATTTGACGCCATATTGGTCCGCCATCTTAAAATTTTAAATTCTACTTTACTTTTCTCGAAAGTGTACAATTTTTATGCACCGTTGGTTGAAAATAGAATTTTATTCTTACCTTTTTTCGAGGTGAAAAATAATGTCAAACTTGAAAAAATGAATTTTTTTTTTACCAAAGAATTTTCACAAGTTGGGCGTTAATGGGTTAATATTTTTGTAGAAAATTCTTAATTTTCATAAGGAAATTATTTTCATCATTTCTATTTCTCAATTACAATTGCTTTAAGAAAAATTCAAAGATTTCTAAAAAATAAAGGAAAAAATTGTTTATAAATTCTATTTGTCAATTGCAAATTTTAATTGAAAGTGAAATTGAAAATTTCTTAATTTTTAGATAATAAAGCAAAAATTATACTCAAAAAAATGTTTGTTACGTTTATTTACGAATTTCTTTAATTGTAAAATTATTTGAAAACATCAATAACTTTCTTTTCAAATAAACACTTAATTAAACTTTTAAAAAAAAATTAATTCGTCAAATTTGAGAGTTAAAAATATAGAAAATTCAAAGTTTCAAATATTTTAATTTGAATCCTTTTCAAGCTTATTCAATTATTTAAATACAAAATAAATAATTTATTGAATAACAGAATGTTTCTTAAAATTAAATTCTCATAAAAAATTTTATCAAATTAAAATGCCATTAATGTACCGTTAATGGGCCGATATTTGTCACATCACTGTTAATTGTCTTTTGCCATTAAAGATTGATCAAATTTACCAATATTGTGCCGTTATTGAGCCAAGCTACGCCCCAATACTGGCAATTATAATTTGCCATGAAAGATACAAATTTTTTGCCATTAAAGTGCCAATAATGAGCCATTACTGGGCCGATGGTCGGCACATCACTGGCAATTGTCTTTTGCCATTAAAGATTCATCAACTTTGCCTTGAATGTGTCATTATTGGGCCGAGAGCTGGCCCAGTCTTAAAAAATTTGAAAATCTGACCATTGGCGCCATCATCGGCCCAGCAATGGGACGTTTTGAACACCAGTAATGGCCCAGCAACTACTCTCTAAATTTGAATCAGTGAAAATACTACTGAATCAAACAGTAATAAAATATTTCACTGATGAATCAGTGATTGAACAGATTTTGACTAATTAATTCAGTAGTTTCTTGTTACTGAATTAAATCAGTGAATTCAACGCAGGCGCAGAAGCTATTGACAGAAGAAATTAGTTTTCACTTACCAACGCGTGCGTCAAAGCGTCTGTTTTGTGTTTTTTTCTTTTGCACTTCGTGATGGTAAATAAAATTGTTTAAACTGTTGCAAAATAGTTCGGAGAAATACAAATAGTGTTATTCGTAAGTATTTTACTAATTATATATTTTCGTATTTATGTAATTGTTACAGATAAATTGTATTGCTTTTCATAAAGAATTCTAACCTAAAATTTAGCATTTGTAAACAAAATTTTCTACTTATATTTAATAACAATTATATACACAATTGTATTGCATAAATTATGAGATTTGATAGAATAGAAATTGACGTTTTAAAATGTGGTTTAACCTTTTCTCAAGCTTAACTTTAAAATCTCACATTAAATAGAAAGATTATTGAATTTTTTTTAGCTAACTATTTCTTATGTATTATTTCAATATCTAAGTAATTTTATTATTGTCATTTAACATCATCAAAAGTATAATTATTATATTTAACTGAATTATCTTTTCGAAAATTAAACTTATATTTTATCTCAAGAATGATATTTGTAGTTCAATTAGAAAAATCGGTTATAAAAAAATAAATTAGAATTTGAAAAAACTTTTAATTTACTTTTATTTTATTTTTCATTAGTTAGTAACTGTTAAAATTTTTTATTATTTATTTCATTAGTTATTATTTTATTTTCATAAATTAAAACCAAAAAAATTTTAGGACTATTTTCTTTAATATATTTTATAATTAATTGTTAATTTAATTTATTTTTAGATACAATTTGGAAATAAAAAATGAATTTCGAGAGCTTGACGGTCGAGGAGCTAGCGACTCACTTAATAAATGGCCATAATATTGATCAGGAAACAATTGAGATCTTGAAAGGTACATAATTAATTTAAAATCACTTAAGTTCAAAAGTAAAAAAATAAATTTTTATTAAATTTATCTATTTTAATAGGAAAACAAATTTTATAATATCAAATATGATTTTTTGCCTTACTTTGATATAAATACTTTTAAAAAATGGAGCGTATTCGATGTTTTAAATGCAGAGAATTTGTAAACGGAGGTGTTGATGGTTTAAGCATACATCTAAAATTTAATCATGGATATACAATAAATAGAGGTTATGGTAATACTGGATTTGAATGTGCACAAGGTGAATGCCGAAAACGGTTTGCTCTTTTCAGTTCATTGAGAAGACATATTGTACAAAATCACTCACAACATGAAGAATTCGAGGAAAATAATGAATTGTTAAATGAAAATAATGAATTTTTAAATGAAAATAATGACAGATTTGAAAATGAACTTGAGGTTGAGAATGCTAATAATGAAGAACACAGAGATTTTGAATTTCAAGAATATGAAAATGTAAATTTCGACATTCATTTGCGTTCATTAGTAGCATCTATGATAAGTAGATTACAGTCAAAGCCTTCCATGACTGGAGCAACTGTAGCTGACGTATTAGACGAATGTGAGCAATTGTTAATAAATTCAACGCGCTTTTTACAATTTAAAGTAAAAAACTTTTTACGTGAAAGAGAAATTGTGAATACTGAAGAAAGTCAAATCCTGCTAGGTCATTTCAATTTCGAAAATGTTTTTTCCGGACTAGAGACTACCGAACAGCAGATGAAGGTTCTAAGAGAAAATTATAACTATATTGACGCCATAGAAATTCCTCTTGGTTACAGGGAAGATACAGTCCTTGACAGAGAATCAGGAACCTTCATTCCAAAATTGATAACGGAAACGTTTCAATACGTTCCAATAATTAAAGTTTTATCACTGGTTTTACAAAGTGATGAAGTTAGAAACTCCATTTTATCGGAAACTGGGTCTGAAGAAGGAGTTCTTAATTCCTTTGTCGATGGTCAACATTTCAAACAACATGAGTTCTTTCAGAGGTATAAATCCGCCTTAAGAATCGAACTCTATTTCGATGATGTTGAAATAGCTAACCCCTTAGGCTCAAAAACCGTTATACATAAAATGGGAGTCGTCTTATTCAGAATTCAAAATATGCCTGTTCATATGAATTCTAAACTAGGAAGCATTCATACAGTTTGTATAGCTTACAGTGACGATATAAAAAAATACGGTTTTGAGAAAATTTTTCAACCATTAGTGCGTGATATAAAAAAACTGGAGTCAGATGAAGGTGTGACCATTCAAATAGGAAATGAAAATTTTGTTCTTCGAGCTAGCATTGCTGGATTATGTGGAGATGGGTTAGCTATTCACCAAGTATGTGGACATCTTGATCCTTCTGCCAATAAATTTTGTAGAACATGCCTCATAACCCGTGCAGAACTTCATCGAAAAGATTTTACACCGAAACAAGAAAGAACGAAAGAGATTTTTGAACAGCATGTCGCTCAAATAAAAAATGCAAGAAATAGAGTACAAGAAATTATGACAGAAACAGGAATTAAAAATAGCTGTCCATTAAATGAATCGAAATATTTTCACAATTCGCGTAATAAGATTTTTGACCCAATGCATGACTTTTTACAAGGTATTGTACCCATGATTTTGAAATTAGTTCTACATCAATTTGTATTTGTGGATAACTTGTTCAATGTTTCGTATTTAAATAATCGAATTTCTGCATTTAATTACGGCGTAACTGAATCCAAAAATAAGCCTTCACCAAATTTTACAGAGGCAATACTTCGTAACACCAATGACCATTCTCTTCCACAGAAAGCTATGCAAATGTGGTGTTTGATTAGAGTATTTCCCTTTTTAATTGCTGAAAAAGTAGCCCAGGGAAATAAATATATGAATATAATCATTTTACTTCTACGAGTGATGGAAATTGTCATGGCACCTAAGGTAACAAAAAGTATTTTGCCATATTTAAGGAACTTAATCACAGACATGTTTAAAGTCTTTGGAAACTTATTCCCTACTGTGAATTTTATTAATAAATTTCATCACGCAAGTCACTACGCAGATTTTATGGAGTGGTCAGGCCCAATGTCTCTTTATTCTTGTATGAGATATGAAGGAAATCATGCTCCAATGAAACAGAGAGCTCAAGTTATACATAACTTTAAAAATTGTCCAAAAAGTCTCGTCCGAATTTATCAAACCACTCAATCTGCATTCTGGGGAGCAAAAGACGTTCAACTTCATACTGTAAAATGTGAAGAGGGTGAAATCGTAGAAGTAGCAGATTGTTTAAGTTCAAATGATTTACAAAACCTTGGTTTCTTAGAGACAGATAAAGTTTTTAGTTTAAAGTCAGTAAGAGTTGATGGCGCTCTTTATAGGACAGGTTTAGTTGTTTGCCTTGATGTAAAAGGTGAAAAAGACATTAACTTACCAAAATTTGGATGTATTAGAGAAATAATAGTCTTAAATAGGAGAGATGTGTATCTCCTGTGCATTCAATGTGAAACAAATCACCTTGATCCTGATTTAAATGCTTTTTCTATTGAAATTGATGAAGAAAGGGGTTTAACTTGTTTTGTGTCTACAAATGCTCTTGGTCATTACAAAACATTCTCTATTTGGTCGCACGCTATGTCAAATGAACTTTTTGTTAGTTTGCGATACCTATTACTTTAAAACTTATCATAATTCAATCATATTTTGCAGACCAGTATATTGATGGAAGCAGTTTCTTAGAACTAACACTAACCGATTTAGTGGATTTAATGAAAATAAAAATTGGACCTGCAAAAAAAATACAAAAAGTAATTAAACAGAATAAAGGAGCTAACATGCAAATGGTCGAAAATGTAAGTTTATTACTTGATTATATTAGCACTAAAGATTCTTAACACTCGACAGTAAACTATTATATTTTTCTAGGTGATGGAGTTTATTGTGGATCCACAAACTGGAGCATTAGATGATGTCCCTCCTGTTGCAATTAATGTCCCTCAAGCTCCACAACATATTAATCGACCAACAACTGGGGAAGATATTCCATTTTCAGTAAGTATCTTTACAAAATTGATATTAATAATTTTTACATATAGGGCAATGAAATAAGTTTATTTACATTTTTATATAGAAATATACAACAGTCAGGGAAACACTGGAACAACACACTCAAGGAATTTCTCTGATAAGTGCTATTAACAAAGGTCATTTTGGGGAAGAAGACCGACGTGCCTTGGTACGAATATTGGTTTCGGAATTGATAAGCAAATATGAAAATCTGTAAGTAATCATACACATAATAATAATTAATTCAGGGTGGCCACATGTCAGTAATGCCAGGGAACTGTCAGTGAAACAAAATTTCTATCAGTTAAGTCAGGGAAATAAATTTTTTGTCAGTAAAGTCAGGGAAATGTCAGGAAAAAAAATTTGTTGTCAGAGAATTTAAGAAAATTGCGACTTTTTTGACTTATTTTCAAAAATTGTGACTTTTTGGATTTTTCTTCCAAACATTGCAACAAAATCCCACAATTTTTAGCAAAAAAAGTGCAATTTATTAGGATTTTTCTAATGCGAAAAGTAACTATAAACAAATCTTTCAAAAATTGTCTTTGAATAATTTTTTAAGGAAATTAAATTTTTCAAATATATCTATAATAAAAATCTTTTTGAATAATTGAAATTTTGTACAATTTAATTAAAAATAATTAATTTTTTCCAAGTATTTTGTTGCATTTTTGAAAATCAACTTTTGAAGAATTTTCATTGAAAATTGTAAAAAGAATTGTATTATATCAATAATGTTAATGAAAAATCTTTAGATGTAAATTTAAAAATAAAAATAAGCTTATAATTTTTCAAAATTCAATATTTTAAGTATTTTTAATTACATATTTCCGAAGATTCAAATATATATACTAAAAATAATAAAATTTTAGAATTATTTTTAACATTTTGAAGAAAAAAACCATGTTCAAAAATTTTTAATTAAAATTTTTTGAAAAATTAATTAGTTACTATAAATTATACAAAAATTCTTTTAAGAAATTCAATTATTTTTGAAAAATTACATTAAAATATTGTTAAAAACTAAGTATTAGAATTTGATCATTTTCAGAGCTCGCATTGTGCAACTTTTTCGACATTTCTAAGGAAATATGATTTTTTCTACTTTTTTGTGAAAAAATGCGACTAATCGACTTTTTCGAGATTTTTTTTTAGTAAAATGCGACTGAAATTAAAATTTTTTTTAGAAAATTAAACGAAAAAGTTTTATTGAAAAAAATGTTCTTTTACATTTATTTACAAATTTCTTTCAAATTTTTCGAAAACATCAATAACTTCTTTTTTAAATAAATATTTAATTATTATTTTTAAAAATAATTGAAATCGTGAGGAAAATTTAAAAAAAAATTTTGAAAATAATTGAATTTCTGCTAAGAATTTTCTTACTTTTGAAGATAATTGAATTTTGCAAAGAATTTTGTCAGAACTTTAGAAAATAATTAAATTTTCATGATGAATTTTATTATTTATGAAGATAATGATAATTTTGACAAGAAATTTAAAAAGAAATTTGGAAATAGTTGAATAACTGCGAAGAATTTTATTACTTTTGAAAATAATTGAATTTCTAGGATGAATTTTATTATTTATAAAGATAATTGAAATTTTGACAAGAATTTTATTAAAATTCATTGCAAATAATTGAATTTTAGATAAGAATTTTATTATATTTATAATTTATAAAAATAATTGAAATTTTGAACAGATTTTTTTTAAAAAAGTTTAATAGTAATTGAATTTTGCAGAAGAATTTTGATATTTATAAGGATAATTGAAATTTTGAGGAGAATTTAAAAAAAATTTTATAAAATAATTCAATTTCTGAGAAGAATTTTATTACTTTTGAAAATAATTGAATTTTGCAAAGAATTTTATCAGAACTTTTGAAAATAATTAAATTTTCATGATGAATTTTATTATTTATGAAGATAATGATAATTTTGACGAGAAATTTAAAAAGAAATTTGGAAATAGTTGAATTACTGCGAAGAATTTTTTTACTTTTGAAAAGAATTGAATTTCTAGGATAAATTTTATTATTTATAAAGATAATTGAAATTTTGACAAGAATTTTATTAAAATTTTTTTTAAATAATTGAATTTCGGAGAAGAATTTTATTATTTGTAAAAATAATTGAAATTTTGAACAAATTTTTTTAAAAAATGTTAAAAATACCTAATTAAAATTTTGCAATGAATTTTATTAAATATTATTCCGGATTGTTTGATATTAATGATTTTTTTACAATTTTGACAATTTCGTGTTTCCTTTAAGACATTTTTTCTAAAATTTCATGCGACTTTTTTCCGACTTTTTCCGAAATTTTATGCGACTAAAGCGACTTTTTTGAGTCTTAAAGACGATTCGAGCCCTGCATTTTTATTTATATTTTTTAAAAATTCAATTATTTTTAAAAGATATAACCAAATCTTAATTTTTTAAAATTGAAAAACTATTTTATTATGCAATTATTATTAAAAAAAATTGAATTCATGAAGGTTTATAATGATAATTTTTAGAAATTATTAAAATTCACAAATTTTATTCATTTTCCGAAAACATTCATATTTTTCTGAAAAAGGAATTTTGTCAGAAAAAGTAATTTTAATAGCAGTAAATTGTCAGAGAAATGTCAGTGAAATTGATAAACTGAAACTTGTGACCACCCTGTTAATCCTCACATTTTTTAAACTCAAAATAATTTGTATATTTTTTTAGATATCCTCCAGATGACGCTAAATGGGCTTTAGCTAAAGCTATAGTTAGGGAATTTCCTTCCTTAAGAGATGTGAGTGTACCTGGATCAGCGGGATGTGTAAGTTTTCTTAGTATCTAAATTTTTCTAAATTTTCTTTCTAAATTTATGTTATATTAACGTTTAAAATTTTAATTTAAGGAACACTTTTTTGATAAAACAACCAGAAAAGGATTTCTAGAGTTTAGACTCTGGAATGCTCGAAAAGTTGTCAGCCCTTCAAAAAAAAAATATGTCACAACAAAAAATAAAAGTTCCAGGACGAAGAAGACAAGTGATGCAACTGTTGCTGATGTGGATAATTTGTTGCTTCCGGAAGAATTAGAAGAAAAAGTACAGACACACTATATATAAAATTTATACAGATTTATAAACTTTTAATATATATTATATCAGTTTTTATTTATTTCTCAATAAAATTCTTATACTTTTATTTTTAATCTCTTGTAGATAACTTGGATGCAACTCACTATGCCTCGTGTTGATAAAAAAAGGGGGATAACTGATTGTTTGATGGAAACTTATAATGACAGACGCAACTGGATTAAAACTGAAATCCCTACGATTCATGACATTATGTCGAAATACCCACGGCTGTTTGATTTTAATGGAGAAATGGTAATCATTTTTAAATAACTACTTTTAAGAAATTTTTTTGCAACTAAACAAAGTAATGAAAATTGTTTTATGAAAGTTTTATAAATTTTATTTATAACAGGGTTGCCACAAACATTTAATTTTATTTTTTCTTAATTTCCAAACAAAGTTTTCACTTTTTCCCTGACCCTAAGGAATATTCTGATTCTCTCTAAAAATTATTAGATACTCAAAAAAATGTTCTATTACATTTATTTACAAATTTCTTCAATTGTAAAAATATTCGAAAACAACAATAACTTCTTTTTTAAATAAATATTTAATACCAATAAAATCTTTCGCAAGAATTCACTTATTTTTACAAGTAGTAAAATTTCTCAAAAAATTCAATTATTTAAAAAAAATGTAATACAATTCGTTGCAATAATTCAATTATTTTCATAAATAATAAATCGATTATTCGGTAATTTATTTTTAAATCAATTTTTATTAGAAAATTCTAGAAGAATTCAATTATTTAAATTAAAAAATAAATAATTTATTAAATAATTGAATGTTTGTTAAAACTGAATTCTCATAAAGAATTTTATCAATAAATTTTTAAATAATTTAAATCTTTTTATAAATTTTAATAAAATTGTTAAGATCAATTGTATTTTTCGAGGAATTCAATTGATAAATTGTCTCAAAAGTAATTAAAATCCTGCGATGAGTTTTATTATTTATGAAAATAATTAAAATTTTTAATTTTCTCAAGAATTTTATTAAAATTTTTTAATTTCGGAGAAGAATTTTATTATTTATAAAAATACTTGAAATTTTCACAAGATTTTTTTCTAATTTTTGAACATAATTGAATTTCTGCGAAGAATTTTATTAATTCTTTTGAAAATAATTTAATTCTTGAAACGAATTTTATTCAGATTAAAAAAATTACTGAATTTTTGTGAAGAATTTTATTATTTATATAAATAATTGAATTCTTGCAAAGAATTTTATTGAAGTTTATAAAAATAATTTAATTTCGGTGAAGAATTTTATTATTTATAAAAATAATTGAATTAATTCAAAGAAATTTATTAATAATTTTGTAGATAATTGAATCCCTATAAACTTTTGCCAAGATTGAAATTGAAATTTTGACGAGAATTTTTTTTTAATTTTTGAACATAATTGAAATTGTGCGAAGAATTTTTATAACTTTTGAAAATAATTGAATTTTTAGAATCATTTGTAACTCTTCCAAAATTCAATTTTTTTAGTATTTTTAACAAAAATTCTTCTATCAATCTAGTATTTATGAAAATTGTAAAAATTATTCATTAAATAATAATTTATAAGTAATAATTTTATGATAGTTCTTAAAACATTAAGTTATTTGAAAAGAAATTATTGTAAGTTACAGCAAAAATTGAAGGTTTTGTGTTAAAATTCGTGGGAATCTTATAGTTTACGAGGCAAACAAAAAAACATCAAAATTTAGAGTTTTCTCATGAGTTTTAAAAATTCATTTTTTCCAGTACTTTTAATAAAAATTCCTGAGTTTTCCCTGAATTCCTTGACTTCCCTGACCTGTGGCAACACAGTATAAGTAAAAAGTATTAAATAATATTAATTCAATTTTTCACTCGTATGTGGTATTTTAATAGTAAGTTTCATTAAATCTATCACTCCGAGTTAGATAAAGAAGAAAATAATAAATATAGCTATTAATAATTTTTATATAATTTTTACATTACCTGACAGAGTAATCGATTTACTCAACTATACTAAAAAAATATTAAATGTGTCTTAAATGTTGTTTAGATCGAATTGGAGTTCATAAAGTTATTTACCGAAGAATTAAACAATAATTTTTTGGCTCGTTTCCCAACATACTACACAGAAATTATAATTGGATATTGCAAAACAAAGCGTCCCGATATTTTTCGGAAAACTTCTGTGTTAAAAGACGGTCAGTTTCAATATTATTCGATTTCAATTCATAACCAATATTCAAAATGTAATATTTTTACCGTTTATTATTATTTTTAATGAATTTTTACTATAATTATTTGTGTTCTATAGAAAATTGGAAAGCCTTAGCAATTTTAGATGCACTGCTGCCTTCTTCTAATTTTATAAAGAAAAGAAAAGCCAACGAAATTTCCAAAGGCAAAAAAAAGGTCAGTTCCTTTTTTTGTTTTAATATTCTTTGCACTTACATCAGAAAAATTAACACAGTTCTTTAATTAAATTATTGTACTATAAAACAATTTGAAGAAATACTTTACTTATTTTCCAAATTTATATTTGCAGGCCAAACTTTCAGAAAATCAGGCACAAGAAAAAATAGTAGCTGATGTCTGTTCATCGTCAAACAGTTTTCCAAACCCAGATTTAATTAGAATTCTCCCGGTAAGAAAATTGTTTTCATTTAAAATTCTTAATTTATTTCTTCTTATAATTCTGCAATGTAAATTGTATAATTTTAATGTTGAAAATATCACAAATTATTTTTAAAAGTTGACTATGATGGAAAGATTTCAAAATAGTTAAATTTTTATATTCTTTGTAAATATTTCTTGAAATATTGTATGTATAAATCTTATAATGAAGGAATTTCTTTCAGGAAGGAACAAATGTTACTGATTATATTCAAAACGTAATTAAGGAAGCAAGTGGAAGTCTTCAACCTTATGTTTTATGTGTGTCAGGTCAAAAATTGGATAAATATTTTATCCAAGTCGATGGAAAATTAATAGAAATTGATTCTAATGCACACCCGATCACTGCCTTTGACATTCTTTTTAAAATTCATTTTGTGACAAATGTTGAATTTGCAGATTCTCTTTTTTTCTTTTATAATTTCATAGAATATTATGTCTACAAAAGACAAGTGACATTAAAAAATTCTGTTGCGTCAATGCATTCTTCACTCAATAATTTTAAGGAACAAAACTAAAGACAATTTGATTGTTTTAATTTTTAAAAAAGTTTAGCTTTATGCAACTTGTTTTTCGATTTACAAAAATGTTCAATATTCATTAATGTATCATTTAATAAAAAATAAAAATTTTGTTTAATCTTTTCTAAAAAAATATTTTACTGATTTAAATAGTACATTATTGATTTTAACTAATTGATTCAGTAGTTTTTACTCACTGTTTCAATCAGTAATGGTTATATCACTGATTGATTTAGTAATATTTCACTGATTCACAGTCGCTAAATTCCAGCTATTTGAATCAGTGAAATCTCACTGAAAATCAGTGCAATTTCACTGATTCAAATTTAGAGAGTACTGCCCCAATTCTCGGCAGACATTACTGGACCAATCATAGGCCGTTTTTGCAGTCTTGGCATTTCGCACTTGGGCTAATTTTAAACATGAATCAATAAATCTTTTTGCACTTTTAAGAATTTTTCAATACTTTTTTCAATATTTTCTAATTGATAAAAAAGTACCATTTTTTCGCACCTTCTCCACTTTACAATCATATTTTAAGAAAAGTAATAAATATTTTAATATAATTCTTTTCATTTCGTGCTCTAGAGATCATACAGATTCATTTATAAAAGTATCAAATTTTTTAAAAATTAGGCCGCAACGACTTTATTTGACATATAATGGTTTGGCCCTTTTGGGTTTATTTCACGTGAGCGGTCTTGTTTTTTGACCGCGTACTTGCCTAATGTCAAATAAACCATTTTTAAACATAAAATCCCGAAAAACACGAAAAATGTAAAAAAAACATGGAAAAAATACACTTAACCTTTAGCCCCAGGGTGCGTTTTTGGCTTTAACAATAACAAATATACAAAATCTGACTAAAAATATTTAGCAAATACCTTTAGGTACATCTTCAGGGGACCCAAATAGGCTAAAATACTTTTGGCGATGAGAATAAATCCAAAAAATATACTTAAAAGTTGAAATTTTCTTTTACGTAAAAATTTACAAATGTAGGGTCAAATCACACTTCATATTATGGACACCACAAAAATGAACAGAATCCCAAGTGCGAAATTAAAAACGGCCCAATAATGGCTAAGTATTAGCAAAGTTGGTGCCGAATCTTATGGCAGACAATACTGGACCGACTCTTGGGAGGTTAACCGCGGATGGCCGTCGGCAGCCAGATCTCGGCAGACATTAATGGCCCAATATTGGCTGCCATTACTCCCCCAGTACTTGGAAAATTAAAAAAATAATAAGAACAATAATATTTTTTAATTAATTAACTAATTAATTTATAATATTTATACGGCTTATTTACTTAAATTAAACGGAAACTTACAAACATTTTAAAAATTCTTACCACTCGTGGGGATCGATACCTCAACCTGGCGCACCAAAGCCTTACACTCTGACCACTCTGCTACTCTGACATGAAGACGAGGAAGCAAAAGGGTCCATATAAGCTACACTACAGGCAGATAATGTGCCATTATTAGGCTGATTACGTCCCATTGATGGCAATTATAATTTGCCATAAAAGATATTATTCGAGATAATATTATTCATATGATATACAAGAATCATTTTAATTATTATTACTTATTATTATTATTTATTGAAATTAATAAATTATTAATTATTGTTATTTAAATTACATATTATTCAAAGATATTCCTTTGACGAATTTTAATAAAATTTTTAAAAATACTTACATTTTTCTAGAAATTTGATTAAAATTGTATTAAAAATAAATAATCATAATTTACAGTTATAGATATACAAAATTTTTGTCTTTTATGTGTTGCTAGTGGACCGAGCTACGTCCCATTAATGGGAACTATAATTTGCCATCAAAGGTACAAAATTTTTGCCATTAAAGTACCAATAACACAGCCACACAAAAAAAAGTTCTGATCTGGGGGTCTCACTATGTAGACTTTGTTTTTTGAGTCGCTGAATCCGAATCCGAGGTCTTTTTAACCCCATCAGATCAGGATTTTGACATAATCTCAAAAAACCAATATGGCGGACACGTTTTTGAAAAGTCCATCGGGTTCGCTTGAAATTCGTTACTCGGGGGTTTTTGGGGTTGCTGATTACGAATTTGAAATCAGATTTCAAAAATTCAAAATGGTGGATCCAATATGGCGGACATGTTTTTGAAAAATTCATCGGATTCGCTTGAAACTTGTTACTCAGGGGTTTTTTGGGTCGCTGATTACGAATTTGAAGTCAATTTCAAAAATTCAAAATGGTGCATCTAATAAATATGTTCTTTTAAGGAATTAAGAACTTGAGTAATTTAATTCCCACGGAATTACTCTATATCTTACGTGTGCCTGCATCCAGGGCACCTCCACGAGGTGACGGTGGTCAACGGAGTTTGTCCACTATCCGGCTAAGTCCCTGGATAATGGCTTTGATGCCGTCATGGCAGGCTCTCAGCGTCGTCGTCCAACAACTTAGCCGGATAGCGGACAAACTCCGTTGCCCACCGTCACCACGTGGAGGTGCCCTGGATGCAGGCACACGTAAGATATAGAGTAATTCCGAGTGAATTGAATCACTCAAGTTCTTAATTCCTTAAAAAAACATATTTATTAGATGCACCATTTTGAATTTTTGAAATTGACTTCAAATTCGTAATCAGCGACCCCAAAAACCCCCGAGTAACAAATTTTAAGCGAATCCGATGAACTTTTCAAAAACGTGTCCGCCATATTGGTTTTTTGAGATTATGTCAAAATCCTGATCTGATGGGGTTAAATGGACCTCGGATTCGGATTCAGCGATCCAAAAAACATAAAGTCTACATAGTGAGACCCCTAGATCAGAATTTTTTTTTTTGTGGCTGTGTAATGTACCATTACTGGACCGAGCTAAGTCCTAATATTGACTATCATAATTTGACATCGTAGATAAAAAAATTTTAGCCATTAATGTGTCGTTATTGGGACGAGCTACGTCCCATTACTGGTAATTATAATTTGCCATTAAAGATACAAAATTTTTGCTATTAAAGTGACATTAATCAGTCATTTCTGGGTCGATCTTCGACACATCACTGGCAATTGTATTTTGGCTTTAAAGATTGATCAATTTTGACGTTAACGTGCCATTATTGGGCCAAGAGTCGGACCAGTCTTAGAAAATTTGAAAATCTGACCATCGGCGCCATCATTGGTCCAGCAGTGGGACGTTTTGAACACCAGAAATGGCCCAGTAACATTGCCAATTCTCGGCAGACATTACTGGACCAATGGTGGACCATTTTTGCAGTCTTGGCATTTCGCACTTGGGATGTCACATAACTTCGGACATTTATTTAAAGTGATAACACCCTACTATAATCAAAATGGCAATGCTCAACTATTTTCGTTCGAAAGATAATGAATTTTAACTATGCTTTCACAGTTTAACATTTAGTTTCAGTCCCCTCTATTATTAGTTTTATAGTAATATAAATATTAAAAATATTGTAAAAATAAATAAAGAAAATGAAGTATTGTTAATTTTGGAAAAAATTATAAAAATTTCTCAGAAAATTTAAAGACAAATAATCATTACTTATATAGTGTTTATCTTTCACAATGATAATTACGAGGTGGTTAAATTTTGTTACAAAATGTTTATAAAAGTAATAATTATTAATTTAATTTTTTATTTTGTTAAAAATTATTTAAACAACATAATAATCAAAATAATAGGAAGGATTATTACTCAGAGAAAAAGTTTATTTTACGCAACAAAACTGTTTAATTAACCTATTTTATTTGTTACGATAAAACAATTTTGTTGATTCAAATAAAAATTTGGTTCATTTTAATAAATACGTAACATTTATTTGGTTATCCAAAAGAAAATTTTTATTTGAAATTGTTTGTTTCATTTAACCAAATTTGTGTTTTGAATAAAGAATATTGTTCAGTTAAATACAATTTGTTCGGCACAACACACGAATTTGTTTCATATAACAAAATAATTTTATTTGAATTAAATAAAAATATTTGCTTGACTGAAAAAGTACATGTGAGGATTTAAGAATGGCAGATTCACTTTTCTAAAGTCCGCTTTCGCGTCAAATTTATTAGGTAAATCAAACAAACAAAATTATCAGTTTCGGTTCAATGAATGTAAAAATTACAATTAAATGTTCAATATATGTAAGAATTACTATTAAATTTGTACCAGTGAGAAAAATTTATAGGTTTTTAAAAAATTTTTTTAGATGAGTCCCAGGTGCGAATTTTGGTTGGCCGCTAGAGTTTGAAGGTTGGCCCAAGGTTGGCCTAACTTTGGCAAGCGAAGTTTTGGTTGCCAGAGTTTGCCCAACTTTGGCAAGTACTAGTGCCCACAGTTGGCCCGATTTTGCAAGCCAACCATTACATGCAGAGTTTTAACCAACCTTCGGGCCAAATTTGGCAACAAAGGTTGGCACAACTTATCGAAACGTAGTTTAAAAGACTTTCAGTTTCGGTTGGCCAAACTCTGGGCCTCGGTTGACCCGACGGTTGGCAAATCTCTGTGAAACGCAGTTTAATTGACTTAAATTTTCATGGTCGGCTGAACTCTGGGCCACGGTTTGCCCGATGGTTAGCAAAACTCTGTGAAACACAGTTTAATTGACTTAAACTTTCTTGGTCGGCCGAACTCTGGGTAACGGTTGGCCCGACGGTTGTCAAAACTCTGTGAAATGCAGTTTAATTAACTTGATTTTTCTTGGTCGGCCGAATTCTGGGCAACGGTTGGCCCGACCGTAGGCAAAACTCAAGAAACGCAGTTAAATTAACTTAAATTTTCATGGTCCCCGTGTGGAAATTTGTCACGTATCTGTACCGTAATGATATAGTTTCACTAGTTGCTATCTAGTTGCGATACCGTGAAATGTTGTAGTAACTATCTTGAAATGTAACGCTACGGACATCAAGTTTCTAGATTGTTTTACTATATCAGAACAATATAGTGAAATATTATAAAGCTATAACACGGGCTCTAGTATAAATTTCATTTTTAGAAACTTGTTTAATACTTC